TTCATTTTTCGGACAATCTCTCAGCCGCGGACATTATCAGCCGACATACCAGCCGCCCGAAGGGGTTTATTTACTACATACCTTAGCAGCATATATTTTATAACCTTCTATTGTTCTTCTACCTGATGAAAAATTAAAAAAACCGATACATTTTTTCTTCTTCTTACCTTCTGGACTTGCGACCTTCTCGCTGTCAACAATAACTTCCATTTCACTTCCGTCATATTTGGCACGCACGATGACCCCTTTTGTGACCTCGGTCCAGTATACGCGCTGCTCTACACAGTCGTAGTCGACTCCCACATGTACCGCGCCCGACCGCTGGTAAATAATTCCTATACCATTTGGCCTTGGAGGAAGAGACATGCGTTGTATACTGTTTCCTTTACTGAAGATGAGCGAAGCGTCTCCATCTTAAAAAAGAATAATCGATACAAACAAACAATGCCGGTGCAAAGTTTACTTCAACATATTGATAATCAAACTTTTGTAAACAGCGTATCCCGACCGTCAGTTTATCGAACAAAACAAGCCTAAAACATGAATGGAATGCTGTGGGCAATATACGGTCTTTTACCTGATTCGTAATTTATCCATTACCTTACTTTAAATTTTATCAGTTCCTTCTTTGGTTCTTAAAATAATTTGTCTGTTATTTGCTCGTTTCTTGGCTTCGTTCTGGTGATTTTTTTTGTTCCCTCTCTCTTTCTCTCTCTCTCATCTTTTCCCTTATTTTGCCTGGTCTTTTCTAGCTTGCTAGTGATAATATTCTTTTCATTTCAGTGTATGAAACGTTTTCTTGGTCTAGACAAAATGTTCAACCAGCTGGGTTCGTTCTTCCTCTTGTGATACTTACGCCACTGGCACCGCTGACCAGAGAATCCGGGAGGGCAATGGCATGTGTTGTTTTCAGAGCAAGAGCCACCATTCAGGCAAAGTTTGCATTCCTCTGCAATTAGAAAAAAAAATAAGAAAAAACTTTTAAAATATGAAGATAGACGTTTCACCAGATCTATTAACAGGTAAACGACACAGCTTTAACTGTTCCGATAGGGTCCAACATTTACATTTGCTTACGAAACAAGTATTTGATTTTAATCAAACGCAACACTCACTTGTGCAAGTTTTTCCAACCTTCTTGTAACCAGGTAGGCACTGGCACATGAAAGATCCAGCCAAGTTGAAACAGTCAGCTTTTTCAGGGCAGACAGATTTATCCAGACATTCGTTTATATCTGTAGAAAGGACAAAGCTTTTTTAAGTAATATGGCAATCGCATCTTTCTGAAATCTCTTGCAAGGACCACAGCGTCTTGCGTTAGTTCGAGAAAAATTTTGGTATAAACAAGTGCCTCTGTGAGACAGATAATACAATGTAAAGGAGAAAGGTGCCTGACATCCAATACGTGCACTTGCAGTGTATAGAGATAGATTGTCATAAGAGCTACATGTACCAACTCAACACTGTGAAAGAGACCAATTCCCTCACGGACTAAAAGTGCTAATGAGAGTGTGACATGCATATTTGTCTGTTAAATCAAACAACTAACCGCTGCAGATTATCCCTTTTCCAGTATACCCAGCTTTACAACGACACTCTTTCTCCGATTCGACGCTTTCATAGAGGGCCACACAGTTGGCATTGAGGTCACACACCACACCTTCACACGTGCCATCACCTAACATGAAATAAACGCTGTAAACGTTTTAAGGAGTTTCTGTAACTTATTCCATAATAAGTGTAACAGGAGCTGTGTCCTAAAGAGAACCGTGAGCCAAAACCCAAACCCTGAGATCCTGAACGCAGGCTCTGTGAACCACGACCTTTTGTCACAGAAACTAGAGCAGCTCTTACTCCATCCTTTTATGCTGAACTGCTATCTCAACTTTCCAAAGGGCAGACAGCAGATCGGTAAGGGTAACGCTTTGTTGGGGAATGGAAAGTAGTGAATAAGGTTACCACCCAGGAGAATGTTGGTGGACCGCTTTTAGTTAACATTTATCTTTATGACCTTCAGGTAGACTCTTAGATGAGCCGATGCTAGCCAAATATGCAGAGGATTCTGATATAATATCCCCTGCCTACAATATGGCTCATAGATCTGAGGCACTAGTTAAACTAAATAAACAGGTTATGGAGTGATTCAGCAATAACGGTATGTCTTGCAACTCTATAAATTTCAGTTTATTACCAGAGTATGATCTTAATCTTTCATCTGAACAAAATTGAAAATGCGAATTAAATGAAGAGTTAATATGCCCACACCTCAGAAATATATATTAGAAAACAAGATAAGAAAAATTTCGACAAGGTAAAACATAAGGAGAAAAATCCTATGTGAAATCTTATACCTAAACTGGAGTTCGCAGAATACAACCCTACATACAAATCTAGTCCCCGAACGAAATAAAATGTGGATCGGGTGAAGAACTCCTACTTTAGTCACCTAATTTTTAAATATGACCTAACTTTGTAGGTGGTATTTTTGGAAGTTTTGTTCTATAAGATATATAGTTTTTATCTTATGAATTAATTAAGACTATTATCATTATTATGAACAGGTCCTAAAACTGCCTCTCATTGAAACCCCTCAACTAATAATCTGCAGTTTTGCGAGTTTAGGACGGTCATGCCGTGGAACGGCAGTCTTTCTTTACCATATACTATTCAGCAAAATACTATTTCAATTTCTTGATTGGGGGCTCCTGGTTCCATTGCGATTGTAAAACGCCTTAAGCAAAGGATATGAGCGCTATATAAATAAATATATCTTATTAACCAAGCGCGAGGGCCGTACTGGGAGAATATCGGCCCGAGGTCTCGACATTACGGACTGAGCGCAGCGAGGTCCGTACAAAAAAGACCGACGGCCGATATTCTTCTAGTACGGTCCCGAGCAAGCTTGGTTAATAAGAGATTTATTATACGACTGAAGTTCAAAGGGACACAAGTGCGGTATCATTCGGGACCATTCGGGACAGTGCCCGGTCCAATACTGAGAGAATATTGACCGACAATACAGCATTTTGATTGGTTGAATTTAGTTATTTGCCCTCTGAATGCCCGAGTCGTGTAATAAATAAAGTTATTATTGATGCCATGAGACTTAAAAGGAAAGTCGCTTAGGACAGCTGTTCCTTACTTAAGCAGTCGAACCCATCGCCAAAGTATCCTTTTTTACACCGGCAACGGTATGTGCCCGGTCGATTGACGCAGGTTGCCTTTCTGTGGCATTTGTGGATCAGTTGTGCGCATTCATCGATGTCTAGAGAAAAAAACGACAAAACATTAGTCATAACACTGCTATCGAGTTCCTCAAGTAATATTCTTTAAAAAGGGGCCACGTTCATAACGGAAAATAGTTCTCTGCTCAAACTGCAACTTTTTTTCTTTCGAATTGCACTTTTCATTCATCCAACCAGAGAGCCAACAGAAAATTAAAGGATGTTATCAGAACTTAAACTGAAACCAAATGAAAACGAGGTAAGGACAAAAAGAAAAAAAAAAAAAAAGCCGGCAGACAGACGCAGACAAACAGACGAGTCCTCCTAATTAATAACTTTTGGTGTAATAAACTGAGACAGTAAATTATTACACTACATTTCATTTACGCTAGCCACTTTTCCAATAAGTTGAAAAGTTATTGTCAAGGCCTGTAAACTCTATCCGTTGGATGACGCACTACATTTTACAATCACTTATTCGCTGGAGGGCGATTTATCCGTTGGATAGCGTTATCCGCCGTATGAATAGTAGAGGCTTGACCTTGGGTTTGTTACATTTTGGCAGCACTAACCTCTACAACTGAGACCATCTCCTGAGAAACCGCCTTTACATTCACAAACTTTGTCGCCGTTTGACAACGTCAAACATTCGGCATCAGCGGCGCACACGATTCCTGCGCAAGTGCCGTCCGCTGTTAGGAATAAATATGTCCCTTATTAATCAAACAATCAATCAAGGTCTATTTTCTTGCTCAAAATGACACCAATTGCCACTAAGACATCTACGAGGTGACAAAAAGGAATGTTTACGGATAAATTAAAGAAGCATCTGTTCCTTCGATAGCTCAGTTGGTAGAGCGGAGGACTGTAGAGGTCTTCAGTGACATCCTTAGGTCACTGGTTCGAATCCGGTTCGAAGGAAGTTCCCTTTTTCAATTTTGATCAATCAATTATGAATTTATCAGTCAGTCAATACTAAATCACTCCATCACTTAACCAATCAATCAATCAATCAAAAAACTAATCAGTAAGCGCGTCGGCCAATTACTTAGTCAACGTTTCAGTCCGCCGAAGGGCTAACGCTCGAAACGTCAGCTTTTGTAATCGTTACGGTGGCCATTTTACCATTTCAACTTTGTTGATATATCCAAATTATTTCAGTCAGTAGGTCAGTCAGTCAGTCATTCAGTGACACAGTCATCAGTCAGGCAATCAGTCAACATATTGTACCAAGCAAGCCAGACGGCCAATAAGTTAGACAGACAGTCATTCAGTAGGACAGTCAATTGATTTCTTTAATCAACTGTTAAGCATCATTTTCTACTGACGTTTGCAGTTGAATCCGTCTCCTTCAAAACCCAGGTTACAAGAACAGTTGTAGGATCCCAAAGTGTTTGCACAGTCAGCCTCTGGGTGACACTTATCAACATCGTTGCTACATTCATCAATATCTGTGAAAGGAAGATGCAATTATTTCTAAAACCTTCTCATATTGCAAAATAAATAAAATGACAGCCTGCAGTACGAAAGACAAGCTTCGGCTGGCTAGTGCGCCACAGAAGGAAGAACAACTTAAGAGTGTCGTCACTGTTGACGTTTAGTATAGGTAATCACATGATTTCGAGTGCAATTTGGCATAAATAAGCATGAGTAATTTTTTTCAGACTAACAAAATTGCATGAGCCCGCAGGGCGAGTGCAATTTGTGGTCTTTGAAAAAAATTGCAAGTGCTTATTTATTCCAAATTGCACGAGAAAATCATGTGATTATCTATTAATAATATACATGAAAAAATACGAGCTAGTTTCTAATAACTATGCAGAAGAGAGGCGCGCGCAACACGTGCAAACATAATTTATTCAAACCCTGCAAGTGACATTGACCTT